ACTGTGTCACTGTGCACTCAGGGACTCCCAAGCACAGCTACAGACTTTGGAAGGGGAAAGGTCCTATCTGATGCTCCTCTTCATAGTCCTGCCAACAGCTGCCAGTCCGACTCCTTCATGAGTAACGCCTCGTACCCCCTAACTCAACCCGCCCAGTGCCAGCGACGCCTCAACTCCACCAGCAACCTCAGACGCGCACGTTTCAACACTCCATGCTTTGGCCTGCTCTCTGGCACGTCCGAGTCCTCCAAACCACAAGCGAATGGAATTACAACCTCAAACACGTTCTCCGACACCAGCGGTGCCCCATCTAGCCAGCTGCAGGTCAAAGGTCCAATATCAGGCATTGAGGATGACCACGTCACGGTACCAGTGTTTGCAATCTCAGAAGAGGAAGACCGACAGCCTCTTGTGTCAGCAGAACATCCCGAGAAGCCTTGGAGGATGAATGGACAGATGTTTGAAGGCACAAAGATGCCACTGCTATCGAAAAGCCAAGTTCCCAGCATCCAACCAATCTCTTTAGCGAGGGGAGGCCGTGGTGGAGCACTGGAGACGCAGGATCCTTCAGCTCTCTCTTGTTAACAGTAACTCCAGAAATAAAGTCTGCCAGTGCCATGAAGTTTGAGTATGATGCTCATGTGACCAATTTAGCCAATAAATGATCTCAACAGGATTGAAAACTCACAGCTTATGAGCTGCTCCTGATGTCTTCATATGCTGTGAAGCACATACAATATGCTGTGGAGTTTCAAAAGGGTTTGTTATGAATATTGGCATGAGGGAAAAATTTAAGCACTTATTGTTCTTCCTGTTATTGTATCTGCACAGTTAATTCGCTAAAACCATCTAACAGTATATTTTATAACCTGCAAATGTATGTATATGATAAACCAAGATCATTTAATGTTTCTACTCACTACAGAGAGTTTGAGTTTGTAGACTGGGTGCATTATTACTTTCATTATGAAATTCCATGTATCTGCTCTATGAACAATACGGCTTGTTCTAATCCCTTTGCAACACGTAGAAGACCAATTAGCTGGTCTGGTAGAAAGCTGCTTGGCATCTCTCTTGACTTCCACACGTTTTGTTTCTTGTAATCACTAAGGGTCCAATACACATATTGTACTGTTATGTATGAATGGAAATGGCATATATATTCTTATTTCTCAAGGGACATAACCACTGAAAATTTCGTTTCGACTTTCTTCTACAATCAAGTTACTGTTTTTCACCTGTATCCCTTACTATGTGCCTTATGGCAATCATCTATGCTGCTAAATATGCACTGATGCAATACCTGAAATTGTGTATACGGTCATATTTTTATAACGAATTCAAGTTCATATATGCTGCAACGGTTTTCATTATAATGGTGAGTTTTCCTGAATGCAGTAATAATGTCAACCGTACTGACTGATGGATTATAAAGGGAACTGATCACTGTACAGACATTTAAAATGCAGTAACATTTAATGCAAATAAAACCTTGTATATTGATGTTGTGTGGAGCTGTATTTTCTTGTACAACCATTTCAGAATATGCATAGAAGGGACAAAGTCAAATGTAATTTAATGTAGTCTTTTATTATTAGTGCAGTCAATTAAACAAGGTTTTTAGTCAGATTTGTTTCTAGGCATTACAAACAAGAGGCACAGCAAGCACTAATTCAATTATAGAACATTAACAGTGCTATTATACAGGCTTCCTATAGTTACTCAAAAACCTGATGAGCAGAAAACTTTTTTCTCCATTTGAAGCCCCGGTTTAAACTTTGAGGTAGAATTAAACACCCCCTTTTCTGACAGGAAAAAAAAATCCCATACAACCCAAGCAAGTAAATATTTGCAGTACGTTTCCCTTTCAGTAAATGCAAAGCAACCTCTAAAGCCTTTCTAACACTCGGGACCATTCCTGAATAAATCCCTCAACCCTTCCTGCAGATTTGAAGAGTTCACAGAATGAGACCCACTTTGGAGCTCACACCATAACACCATTCCACTCACCTAAAACCACCTTTTAGGTTTATGCAAGAGCCTGTATGTGGTTTCAAAGGAAGCTCTATCAGTCTATCTGACATTTTATAACAAAATGTTTATGTAGATATTTGAATACAATATAAAACCCTTTTCCACATATCTTGATACTTGTGTACATTTGATAAATACTATTTTGCATACCAATTAATGTGCAATCAGATAAAGTTTGGGGAAAGTTGCTCTAGATAAAACCATCCACCAAATGCATAAAAGACAGAGAAAAACAACTATTAATTTGCCATTGTAGAAACATTTCCAAGCAAACTTCCAAAGTAAAGCAGGGTGAATTATCCTGGGTAAATGAAGTGTAGCAAATCCAGCAAATGTGGCCGTTTGTCAGGTGCCATTAGGTCAGTGTGTGAGGTTTTAGAGAGCTGAGGCCTTCTGTCGCCCTTCATTAAAGAGCTGGTGAGGGATGGCGCGGATTGACCTCTACAGTTGTAGGAAGTCTAATTTGAGCCTCTGAAGAATGCCATGGTAAAAGGGACAACAGACCCCAAAAAAATGGCAAAAAAGAAAAAGAAAAAAATTACAACAACGTTATGTTCGAAGTAACAGTAATGTAAAAAGTTCCCTGCAAAATTTTGGGAAATATTTACAAAACATGACAATGAACTGAGATACAGCATGTATCTACTTTCAGGTATTTTAAAAAGTTACAAATATTTGTTCATTCTTTCAATGTTTTTATTAAAAAAAAATGTTGAAGGGTAAAATGTTGAGAATTTTTATGTGGCTTTGATGCTCAATGCCACATTTTAAACACTGACTGGTAACTTTTTTATGGATCACATTGGCTTCCTCGGTACATTAAAATTTAATAAAAAAAAAAACATTAGGAAGAACTATGGCTAAAACCAATGTGGTTTACCAAGTTAAACAAGAACCAGCTGAGTGTTAAAAATATACACCAACTGAAAAAAAACTTATTGGGGAAGTTGGGAATAAGCAAAAAAAAAAAAAAAAAAAAAAAAACTATTTTACTAGTCCAGAAACACAGCTCTAGCCTAGTCAGAAAATGTAAAAATATTGAATCAGCTATTGTATGGCCATACCATCTACCTATAATATCACCAATCCCACAAGTAAAAGAAAAACTCAAATATCTTAGTTACATAGGAAAACACTAGCAAATGCATCATCCACTGACTAGCTAAAAAATGGCCTTGTTTGCATATGAGCCAAAAGCAAAAATTCCATAATCATAACAAGATGTGCGAAAGCATCGAAGCCTTTATTATAAATCAGATTTGACTTGATTATCCCCTGCAGTGCGATATACCCTCAGTCTTGTGTTAGAGGAAAATAAAATACACACCTTTTCTTTACATGGCTTATTGCCCTTAATGATTAGAAAAATTATAAAATACAAAATGCAGCTACTGATGCTGAATACCTAACATGTGAGAGTTTAGTGCACTTGACCAACACGATCATCCCTTTTTTATAACATACATTTTCAATAATCTCAGTAGCATTTAAATGTCTCGAGCAGTTTATGAACTCATTGAAAGAACATTCAAATGGAAGTATGTGACATATGCAAAGAAAGCGCAAACACTCAGAGTCGACTCTTAGGCACCAAAGGTTAGTTATATATTTTGTATATTGTATAAGGTTCACGCTAAAGAGCTTTTTGCATGTAAAGGTGATTGCCAGTGTTGTCTCGTTTCACAATTATAAGCAGAAATGCAGCATGAAAGCATGTCAATAGCATAGTGGAATGAAGTGTGCATACTGAAAGAGTGACAGTCAGTACATCATGGAAAACTAGTGTCTGTTTCTACACACTGTGCAGATCCAGATCAGATGTTTCCACATGCTGACACCATACCTCAAGGATGATTGGTTTATCATCATCTGATTGACTTTGCATATGTAAGGTTGCCATCTAGAGGAGTAAAGAGGTATAACACATGCCTGCACCCAGAAGCAGGCTAATGATGAAGCTGCTGAGACAGTCAAACTCCCAAACTACTGCTGTCAAATCAAACGACGCTCCTCCAGCTTTAGTTCTTAAACCGCGTCTGCTCACATATGTGGTTGAATTTCCTGAAAGAGGAGAAAACAAAATGACTGATTAAGATTCAGTGTTCTCATTGCATGTCATCTGAATTATTGAGCATGATTATGATATTAGGATAGTGATCATTACTCAGGGTTACTGCAGGTTTTATGAAGGTAAATTTAAGACCAAGCAAAGACAATTTAAGGAATAAATTGAACGGAACACAATACATCAATATGGTCTCTAAATGTAAATGTCTTGTATTAGCAACACTTCAAAGTTTGAAAACACAACTTCAACTTAATGACAACTTTATTTAATTTTGCAACAAAAAAGCTTGAATAGCTCTGCAAATGTCTAAAGATTCTTAAATCGAGTAACCTTTACTTTGTGAAGCAAAATTAGAAAAAAATATGAATATTTTTTTATGATAAATTGATCAAAATAAATTCAGTTTATGATTAATACAAGAACAAATATCTACCTATGGGGTTAGAAAAATCAACGTTTAGATATTATTTGAAACCAAAACAAAAATACAGAGGAAAATACTCAGACTGAGGAAGATATTTTTTGAAGTCGAGGCAACATTTAATGCCTGAGTCCTTAGCCATCTTCAAGAAAAGACTAAAAACACATATGTTCTACCTTTATTTGACCCTCTAACTCTAGCACTTTCTATTCTATTTTAATTCTACTTTATCTACATTTATCTTCTTTTTTTTATTTAAGAAAAAATATATATATTTTTCTACTCTATTTTTTCTATTCTATCTACTTGTTTTTCTTTGTGCGTGTGTGTGTATATGTGTGTGTGTGTATGTGTGTGTGTGT